TGAGTTCGTGCATCACGAAATGAACGATGAACGTTATGATAAACTTATGTCAAGCCTCACGTCAGACACGATGATTGTGAGGGTAAGTTTGTCTTGGGGCCTTAGGCGTCTGCGGGTGTCTATGAGCCTGAGGCGTCATTGGGTGTCTAGGGGCCTTAGGCGTCTGTGGGTGGTTTGGGGCCTAAGCCTTAGGAGACCTAAGGAGTCTTGGGACATGTGTGTCGGGCCTGTAAGCTCACGCGCGCGCGTTCACAAGTCTATACCACAACACACACACACACACACCTTCGTGATTACGAGAGGTATGCGTCCAGCTTGACAGTGAATTCAATTGAACCATCTCGATTCCAATGTTGCGACGTCTTTCTGTCAACCGTATGTTTGATGGCTCGGCATTGGCATTCGCATGCGGCGGCACTTCCTGTCACAATTCTTGAGAAGATGATTGGGTTACATTGCCGTCCTGCTTGGAAGCATCTTCCCTCCATGAGATGTGTGCCTACCATTATTGAGCCACTCCTCCGTCTCCTCCGACCTCCTGGGGCTGCGAGCGGATATGCCAAAGGCTTCATAAGATTGAGCGGGGGTCCCAGTGCTGATAATTTCTTAGGGGCCTGCGGGGGGCGGTGCATGAGCACTCGAGGGCAGATATACTCTTTTACGTGCGTAAGCAAGCCCCTTGGCGAACACGCAAGGGCAGACACATACAGACACTTCGGCACTTAACACTTAACGACCTGACGTGCGCATCACTGCACGAACGCATGGCAACATTACAACATTACATTACAACAAGTGGTTGCAGCCGTGCGCGAGTGACACGTGACCTCTCCAATGCTTACGTCCGCCCCCTGATCGTTGGTCTAGTTTTCGGGCGAACCCGACTTCGAGAATGATTGTGCTAGGCCGGGCCTAATGATTAGGGCCTGATGTTGGTATGTTGCTGCCGGAGAGATCGCCGCCTCCATCTCTCCCGTTCCATGCGCCTTCCCCGACGAGAGAGAGATAGAGATAGATCGTTAGATCGAGAAGTCTGTATGTATATAGTGATAATGGTACATACAAATATCTATATATATACACACATAGATATATATATATATATATGTATATGTATAGAGAGTATATATCGAGATGAAATGAAATGGCATATCTATAGAGAGAGAGAAATAAAGAACGCCTTGGGACTCTGGCGTTGGGCCCTCTTGGACCCCGCTGACCTCCTGGGACTCCTGCCAAGTGGGCTCTCCTGGAGCCCGCGCGGGGCCCGCTTGGGCCCCTCTTGTGACTTAGTGCGGCCTGAGGAGGCTCATGGGGGGGGAGGGGGGAGGGCCGCGATGTATCAGTGCATCAGCACTGTGCAGATAAGCGCCCAGAGGAGATCATCCAGAAACGCAAGCTCATGGCGGCGACCAAGCTCGATGACCTGTTCTACCAAGAGGGCGAGCCCATGCTCGTACAGCGTTTGCTTGACAATGACAAGGCCCACGGTGCAAATAACTAAGTTGGGGTTCGCTTGTTTTTCTTAGCCTCCAACAACTTCCAACACGGATTAGGCCCAATCGGGCTGCCCCCCCAATCAAATGATATCGAGGAATGTGTTCGGTGTTCTTTCATTGCCATTGCATTGCACGTCACCGTTGCACAAGGCAGCCCGCCCAGCCAGGGAGGACAGAACCAAGTGGAAGACGCATTCGCAGAACATGCGGGCCAAATTGTCCATGACAGAGGATGCCGCACCGTGGACTGGGCGAGCTGAGGTTCGTTTGCGAGGCGTTGGAGTTCAGCCACGAATCTTGGACCTCTTGGACTTGGGTTGGCAAAGTCGTGTGAAAAATCCGCCGGGAGGTTTCAAGGATCTTCCAAAGTCAGAGAAATTAGACGCACTGGTCGATAATTTCTACGCGGACATTTCTCAACAGAACGTCAGAGAGCCGTGGGGGAATCTGAAAGTTGCCACCACTAGCAGCGTGATATATTCTTATAAGCATGACAGGATCCTTTTCGAGGAGGAGTTGCTTCGCTTGCAAGGTCACCCCATGCCAGCGGATATCACCTGCGGCAAAAAGGGCAATGTGAAATCGTTTCAGGAACTCGCTGGTGAGGCTATGACGCTGCCTGTGCTTGCATCGGCGATGATGTCAATGATTTTGAAAGTGCCGTTGCCAGGGTTGTGGCAGCGCGCGCCATCAGTGCAGCCGCCGCAAGACCCCCACAGCCCGGCACAGGACACCCAGGACCCATGATTGTTTTCGTGTGTGGCACGCGGGGCACGCTGGCATTGTAGAGTGCAGAGCGTAAATATCGAGAGAAAGAGTAGGAGAGGAAGAGAGAGAGAGAGAGAGAGAGCGAGAGGGAGGGGGGAACCAGAATTGTCCAGAAATTGTTTCCTGTGGCCGACGTGGTCCTCTGCAATTTGAGACCTAAGGCCTGAGAGCCTGAACTGGAGATGCGCGCTTGCAGCTGCTCAGTAAGCCGACTGTGATGGAGTCTGAGCCCGCGAGCCAGCCAATTTTCGGACATAAAGTTTTGGGGCCGCACATGTTGCGTGTGGCTGAGCTCGTGAGGATCTCTGGGAACCGCATCGGTAGACAAAGCATTGCCGCATGCGGGATAGTTAAATAGTGTGCCTTCTGTCGAACATTGAATCTGAACTTGAGACGTGACTTGAGCCGTGATGAGCCTGAGCCAAGAGCCAAGAGGGCCAAGGTAAAGGGGTCTGGCGCATTGTTTATGATCAGTATGGTGTCTGGTAGATTGTGAGGTTGTACCCTGCCACAGGATTGCCTCCGTTCCTCTCCTCCCCCCCCCCGCCCTGCAACGTCACAACTTACTCGTCTCCCTTGCCCTTCAGCCACCCCTTCCTGGCCATCTCAAACTTAAGCTTAAAGCGATTTCAATATGCAAAATTTCCCAATCCTTTTCTGGATGGACCCGAGAACCGTTCAGAGCCCACATAGCCTAATACCTTATACCCCCTTGTAACAAACCCAAAGGCGTTTGCTCCTATCCGGGTTAGGGGAGGGGTCCCAGGATACCCGAATGACAGAAATGCAAGATGCAACGTCTTGTACATCCGTAGCCGCGGAAATATCAGGCCCCGCCATGTTTCAGATGTCAGTGCTCACTCACCAGCGCCCGCTGTGACCATGACGGCCGCGGGCTCGCAGGCCTCCTACCAGGATCTTCTTCAGAGCGAATTGGATGCTTTGCTGGGTTCTGGAGACGAGGGCGCCGCTGCTGCTGCTGCGCGCGCAGAGCCACCTTCCAAGAAGACGAAGTTCTGCGCGGCAGTCAGCATCAAGTGCGATGTCTGCAAAACGCCACCGACGGACCACCGAACACCAAACGGGGAGGATAGGAGGAAAGAGGGCAGGGCCAGGGGGCGCATGATTTGAGAGAAGCAGAACAAAAAACACAAAGTTTCAGGGTTGAGAGGGAGGGGGTGTGGAGGAGGGCTGGGGGTGTATAGTATAAGGTATAGGGCGATGGAGGGAGGAGGCGGATCTGTCAAAAAGTAGCAACCACTCCCACACTCCCATCTAAGCCCCATGTCTCGTCTGCGGTCGAGGGGATTCGGCACTGACTGACTGACTGCCCGTTGCCCCCCCGGTTGGGCCGTCGAGGATTGGGGATGCGGCACGTGCCCACATTCAGAGAGAATCAGAGAGAATAGGATAATGCAAATCTGCAAAGCTTGTTTAGAAGTGTGACACATCCAGGAAGCGGAAACCAAATCAGGAAGAGAGGAGGAGAGGAGGATGAACCATGATGATGGCGATGAGTGTGTGAGGGAGGGAGCGGGCGAATATTTGTTTGTACTCGGCGAGGCTCAGAGATACAACAAAAACCTGGGATCCGCTCATCGCTCATCAACGGCCGAACTTTGCCCATTGCTATCCGGCTAGCGGCTACCCCCAGGGGCGATGTTTGTAAGTCCCCCGCAGGGTCCCAGGGGCTCTGATCATGGGCAAGACTCAAGTTTCGATTTCAGAGGCTCGAGATGTTGAGGCTAAACTTGTTTCTTGGCTCTCCACCCAGGAGACAACGTGGGCGGCGTACGTGAGGAAGAAGAAGGATATGATACCTCAGGGCAGGGCCTGCAGAGATTGTATGCAATTGTTGCTTGATGTCTGGCCAGGCGTTTCATGGGAGGATCACGCCACGAAGTACACTGCGAACATCGATGACCACAAAACGAAGGTCGACATGGCGAAGGAGATCAAGCTGAAGAAGATTGAGGCTCCGTTCAACCAGGCAGAGGTCAGATCGACCGAAACTGTGGGTTCCTACTTGTACTGGGATGGCATTGTCTTGGACTCGGATCAATTCACAAAAAAGTTCTTGCATACCCACGAAGGCATCCCGGATGTAATGGAGATCTCGCTCAACAGAAATTTGGACGGCACAGAAGAAAAAGCATTCGTATTCCAAGACCCCGACCAACCCTACCGCAAGATTCGCTTCTTCAGTCAGTGCGATTTGTCGAAGAGTATTGGGTTGTTGCCAGCAGAGAAGCACTTGGTGGATGGCCAAGCACGGGCCAAGTTCGATTCGCAGATGAAGCTAGATGTTGGAGCTCGGATCCAGCAGCTCCGAGGAAATCAATTCGCCAACCTCCCGACGCTGCAGGCGATCGAGGAGAACGTCCGCAAGGTCAAGGCGGATGAGGATTCGAAGAAGAACAAAGACCTCGAGCAGATGAAACAATGGGAAGAGAGGAGGCGAGAGAAGAAAGCTGCCGGAGAAGAGCTTGATGACATCGGCAAAGAACTATTTTAATCGTCCTCCGAGGCCAGCGACGAAGGGCAAGTAGTCACCACGACACATGTTCCAAAGGAGCAGGGCAATGCCAAGACGCTCGCAGGCAAGTCTAAGAAAGGTGGTCGAGGTGCTGCTGCTGCTGCTAGTCGTGGCGGCGGTGGCGGTGGCGGACGGAGGGGGGCTGCGGCTGGCCGAAGTCGCGGCAGAGGTGCATCGTCGGGAGCGGCCGCAGCGAGGGCTTCAGTTGCTGGCTCCGTGGCTGGCGACCTCGGCGGCATCGAGGAGTTGGAGATCAAAAGCGGGGGCCTGAGTGGAAGCAAGACGGTCGTGTCGATGAACACCGCCAGATCGCCTGCCAAGGGAGACGCCCCATCGGATCCGAAGGGCGCGGTCGAGTATTGGATGAATCGCGTGGACATTGATGACATTCTCAGGACTGGCGCGAAGCTTGGGAAGGACATCTTCCAGGTCTAGTGTCAAACATAACCAACCCCGTTCCTGTACTTACACTTACGAATGGCCTTCGGCCAAAAAGCCCACAGCCCCACCACCGTGCCAAGGTTGTAGGTATGAGGCGTCGTGGATGTTCGATGGTATCTGGCATGGAGCACTCGAGGGACTCTTGACTCTTGGAGGCAAGTTTGTAGTTTTTCGAGGCCGCATGGGGCCTCTTGGAGTCTCTTCTCGGCCTCTTGGGGGTTGCTTAGGGGCATCCGTTCGCCTCTTGGGGGCATCTTGGGATCTTGGGGCCACTTGGGAGTATAGCGAGTAGCTCGGGGCCCTCTTGGGGCGGAAGGCTTCGTTAATCCCCCCCCCGCTGCCTCTTTGCCTTTTGGACCCCACACCGTTGCTGTTTCGCCTAAGTCTTTCGAGAGGTGTTGGTTGGTTCTGCATGGGGAGATACGGGGCGCCCAGGAATTGACCGGGAGGGCTCCGAACCCTGAGATAGGTTGAACGCTTAAACTTTGAGGCCTAAAGCTTAACGTTCCAAGATCCAAGAATGAGGATAGAGGGGCAGGGACAGTCTGGCACGCCCACTCCATGCCGATGCCCAAGGGTACGGTGGCGGATCCGAATAATGATGTGTGTATATATATACACGTAAAGAAACAAGCATGTCTTTACACTTATTCGAGCTTTGAGCCTGTCAATACCGTGAGCCGACCTAGAGAGCTCAGAGCGAGCACTGTGTTTTGTTTGAGGCTTGAACCTTGAACCAACGTGCTACATTTATACTTTATACGAAATGCATGTTAGATACTAAGTCAATCGGCCGTTGCCGTTGCCGTTGCCCTTGCTTTTCGACACCCTAGTTGGGCGAGGCTGGCAAGAAGGCAATGCAGGAGCACCCGAAGGCTGGTCGCAGCGCAGAGAGGCATTGCAGAGTCGCAAGGCTGGCCGTCAATTTAACCAAAGAGCACTTGCCCAAAATGAAAGTGGCTGAGCTGAAGCAGCACCTGAAGGAGTTGATATCCTACAAGATCGTGCTCCCGCAGTCGCACCAGCTGCTAGTTTGCGCGACGAAGGAAAACGAGTTGCGCCAGTCACCATCCTTCGCTGGATTTGCTGAGAACAGCGATTTCTTTGAACTCTTACGCCTAGACGGTATTACCAGCACGGGCGGCAGCTCAGGCGAGGGGAACGAGCAGCCTCCTCCGCAGCATTCACAGCAGCAAGTCATGCCCACGGCCTCTGAATCAAAATTCGACCCCATGGAACCTAAGTTGAGCGAAGTCGACGGTATTGATTTGAGGTCGGCGGTTTCCTTCATTGACGAGAAGTACATCAGTGGCAAAATGCTGTCTGCACTCATGGCGAAGAATCACAAAGCCGCTTTGGATATTGCCGAGGCGTGCGCTAAGGTCTTGGCCACAGCCTCAGACGGCGAGGTGATCTCTTCTGCGTCAATTGCGTGCCGCTGCGTGATCGCCATCTTCCACAGCTCGCCCGGCGTTCAGAGGAGCACCAAGGACGACGTCAACATAGTTCTGGACAGCACAGCCAGCGGCGCGATCTCTGACGGTGCGGGCGTGAAGCGCGACGAGGACTACTTCAATGTGTTCAAGGAAGTCTTGGATGAGAACTACAGCAAGAAGATCGGCGAGTTTTTCAAGTTCACCATCGCTGAGCAGACTCACCTGCCAGAACTGACGGCCATCTGCAACATAGTCGAGCCCGAGAACCTCGATGCCATCAACCAGGCCCTCAAAAAGCTACCAGTCTTGACACAGACATGCAGGGCGGGTGCAACGAGCGAGCTTGAGACGAAGACGCTCGCGGCCATCCAGGGCCGCAAGTTGTTGTGCGTCAATGCTCCCGACTCCACCACTCTGGATTACTTTGAGGGCTTCATGAACACAGTTAAGCTTGCCATCGAGAACATGCCCCAAAAGGTAGACGAGCTGGTGGCTATTCGCACTGAGATTGCGACGCTCCTGCAGAACAGGTCGAAGAGCCACAGGCTGAAGCATTTGGGCGAGAATTTGAAGGCGGGAGCCTTTCTGACATATGGTTGTTATTGTTCCTCTTCCCTGCCTGTGTACCTTGTCACAGTCTCGTACCTTGTCCTTTGCCCCCCCTGTCCAAGGAAAGGGCACCAGGTTTCATCATGTTCTCATGGGTGGAAAGTGTCTGTCGGCTGTTTGGCTTTCCCTGAAACTCGAACTGAACGTGTCAATCGTGAGTAATACTGAGCAGCCCGTAGGGCGTAGGGTAGAGGGCAGATGGGTGGAGTTGTTGGCAATAAGTAATAAGTTAGTTAGTAGTAACTTCCGACCTTCCAGGCGGTTCTGGATGTTGTGTCTTTCACCAACATGGCGGAGGTGGCCACGGCAGCTCGGAACCTGACCGGAGCCTGGGAGAACTGCAAAGGCATTGAGCTGCCGCAGTCCGGGGAGTACCCTATCGATGAGGCCATTCCCAAGATTATCGCCGGAGCCCGAGTGAATGTAGTTTCATCAAGCATCGAAGCATTCGAAGATGTTGACGAGTGCATCAAAAAGCTCGAGGGCAGGACCAGCATCAGCAAGAACATAAAGGATGAGTTCGAATTATACAGGTTGGCAGTTATGATGAAGAAGCATCGCGGTATGACTGAGGCTCTCAACGCAAATTCACCACAGCTCCCAGCGGTTGCAAAGATTATTGCTGCATCCCTGAAGTCCTGGAACGACATGCGGCCGCAGTTTGAGATCACCGAGTCGAAGGGCGCCGACGACACGAGTATGGTGATCGAGAATTTCAAAACGTTCGATGCAGAGGTGACGGAACACACGAAAGTCGTGAAGGCATGCGGCATGCAGTTCGCAGACGACGCGCTGAGGAAACTAGATTATTTCTCTGAACAGTTGCAGCCTGCAGTGGATAATGCTAAATGGAAGGAGGGCCTCGACTCTGCTGCAAACCTGGAGGTCTTGATAGCTGCCGCAACAGAGAAAGGCATGTGGAGCATGAATGCAGAGACGATCTACAAACACATACAGAAGATGATGACAGGGCTCGTGGAGTACAAAGCGATCGTGGATCAGTACGACATAGATCAGGAACAAAATGAAGATGCAGCAACACAGAAACACCTCAAGGACCTGAAAGAGACCATGACCACGGCTACTATCTGCCGCATGGAGGGGCGGCTCATGAAGATATTCGAGAAGAGATCTGCGGTCGACGGAGCTGAAAAGATCAAGAGGTTCCAGCAGCTCATCAACAAAGAGCTCAAGACGCTCGCCGATGCAAGCATCGACGCCCAACTGATGCACCCGACGATCAACGAGATGGTGAGCTCATCCATGAGCACATGAGCAGAGCAGCTGCTCAGCTGAGCAGCTCAGCCAGACGGCAGCCAGAGCGGCTGCCAGGACTCAAGACTCAAGACAGTCTGGCGTCTGGCTGCGGAACAGGGAGAGCAGCGGCCAGGGAGGGACAGGGAAGGGCAGAGGAGGAGGGGGAGGAGGAGGAGGAGGAGGAGGAGGAGGAGGAGGAGGAGGAGAGCGGCGAGTGGCGACGAGGAGGAGGAAGAGAAGGAGGAGGGAGGAGTGGGAGGAGGGGGAGGAGGAGGAGGAGGAGGAGGAGGAGGAGGAGGAAGAAGAAGAGGAGGAGGAGGCGGATAAACATTGTTCCTGACCTGGTGACCTCAGAGCCTCAGAGGCTACGAGTCGAGTCGTGAGTCAGCAGGCTGAGTAGTAGGAGCTGCAGCAGCAGCAGCAGCAGCAGCAGCAGCAGAGAGGACAATGAGCACTGAGTAGGACCCGGGACCTAAGTAGAAGGATGAGGAGCCAGGGAACGAGGACGACCACTGTGAAGAATGAAGAGCGAGGAAGGAGGAGAGGGGGGGGCACGGCCGGGGCTTTGACTACGGACTGCAGCAAGCACTGCCCACCACTCACTTCCTCATCCCTGGGCCCATGCCGTGCACCTCCTCTTCATTCCTCGCTCCTCCTCTCACGGCTCCCTCCCAACCTCCGCCCTCGTTCCCTCGCCCTCCGTCCTTGCCCGTTTTCTTTCTCACCCCTCTTCTTTCCAGCTCCCCACCTCGATTGGTTATTTACATGCTCCTTTATCTTCTCCCCACGGCCGTCGCCTGTTCCCTCCTCCTCCTCCTCCGCGTCCTACTTCCTGACTTCCTTACTCCAATGTCGTTTAGCCTCATCGTGTGTCCACCTGTCTCATTATCCTGATCATCGCCTCGCTCCGTCTCAATACGTCTCCTCCTATGTTTTTCAAATCGTGTTTTTACCCTGGCTCAGTTCGCTGATAGCTCAGATAGCTGGTGGTAGCTGTAGTTAGTAGCCGATAGCCAGCAGTACTTAGTAGCAAAGCCCAAGGTCACTTGAGCATGGTAGCGGGGCGCAAGTATGAGTGGTTATTCGGTTACTGGTAACGGTTACTGCCGCTTGTGCGACCTACCTGTTTGATTGCGCCAGCTCGTATTCTAACGACGAAATCTTTGTTTTGCTCCCAAAATGCTTGCTTTACGAATAGGATGCTTCAAACATGCTCCAAGTATGCGGTGTTAGTTAAAACGTTCCTCCAAACATGCCCGCTTGATGTTTATGTATGCTTACGATGCCTTCAAACTGCTGCCTTTCTGTTTCGTCCGGAGATGATCGAAACATGTTCTTTGCATGTTGTGCGTTTGTCGCACGTGCCCCAACAGTGCTGTATTATGTTGCTGCTCGTTCTGAAGATGTTCCAATTTTGCCCAGATTCCATCATCTGCTTTCGTGGCGGTGCCCCAGACATGCTGCTCTCATCATGGGACCAGCATTTCTGGAGCACCGCTGCGAAAGCAGATGATGAAATGGGCAACATTCGAACATCTTCAAACAGAGCAACAGCGTAATAGAGCATTTTTGGGGCATGCGTGAAAAACACACAAATTGCGAAGAGCATGTTTCGAGCATCCCCCAAAAAACACGAAAATTAAGGTAGCATTTTGAGAGCATCGTGAAAAATACACAGAAATCGAG